TCCCAAACTGGTTATGTATTTAGCCATCACAAATGGGTATTTTTCACTTCTTAAGTTAGAAACAACAAAAATTTAAGAGATTTACATTTAAAAGTAATTGTTGACAATTTCAAATATTTGGGTTTTTGAGTTACTTCAATTAAAAAATTCAGCATGTTACACTGGACTCAAAACGAGTGCCACTGTGAATTCTAACAGGTATTTTTATTTCCATACTGACAGTTTAACTTTCAGTTTGCACACTTTTATGTTCCAATGGAGCTCAAGTGGTACAAAGATGATAGCAAATCAATATTGGACAAGTGTGGACTCAAATTTGACATCATGCATATCATTCAAATTCATCACTGCACTGCCTTCATCATTGAATTCACTTAGTCTCAAAACTGTTGACTTTGATTTGAACCTTGCTTTAACTCAAATAGGTAGGCATAGTTATGTGGGAGTTAAACTAAAAATATTTTCACTAAATTTGGACACTGCTTTGCATTATCCCCCCCTCCCCCAATTCATTTGGAAAATTCTGCTCTAGAGAACAATCACGGGCCCAGTTACAAAGGGTTCACAGTTTCATCGCAAGGACTCCTTAAGGAGGAGGTACGAAGGTGTTACTTGTGAGCTATTAGCAACTCAACTCCACCGGCTCCCTCCCCCCAATCTCATTCTACTTCTGGTTACATTTGTCATTTAAATCGTGGAGACAATGTCAACTTTAGGAAATTGGGAAACGGCATCTCCAAAAAACTGTCATTTCAAAACAAGGATTAAATAAATGAGGAACAAGGGAAACTATCAATCAGAAGCCTTGGGTTTGAATCCAAGCTCCAACACTGTGAACCGATTTCCTCAAGTGTGAAACAGAAGTAATACTACCTACCTCTTAGGTTTTGTTGAAGGGAAAGAATTCTGTTGACCTTAGAGTATCATATAAATGCTGGCTATTAACATAACTAGAAGCAAAGCTCAGAGCAGAGCTGAATAGTTGCTGTTCTATAAAGGGCCTACAGGCATTTCAAAGACTGAGCTGCCAACTCTCTCTTGCTCAGATGTTAACTACTTAATTCTCAGCTTTGCTCGGGCTTTTAGATTTTAACATCTGTGTTGAAAATATAGTTAAACTTGTTTTGTATAGTAATTTACTCCTCTGAATCTGTTTGCCCCTCCCTGCTTCTTGGGCAGAGGTGTACCCTCAAGGTCAGAAGGGACACCAGGACACAATAGCGGCAGGAGCAGGCTTCCTCTTGCTGGTCTACTGACCTTGTCATGTGATTATTCAGCTGCACCCCAGTGATGTTAGAGTCTGGGGGACTTTTGCGGTCACTGAAAATGATGGACTTGCAGTGCTAATTAGTGCAGTGCAGTGCAGTAGATGTTTCACACATTTACTACGCTTTATCCTTTGGTTATCATACACTGTTTATTTGCTTGATTCTGAATAAACATGATATTCAGTATCCAAGCAAGCTTCTGTAGAGAGCTAACATTACTATGCTAACATCACATGCCTGGCACTCCCTGAAATCTATCAAGTACCAGAAAGGAGGGGTTTTGCAAATGGGTGGAGACTCGGAGCTAAAATTCTTATTTGGTAGATTCACAAATTCACATGCCGAATGAAACTGCTCCATAGAAGCAGAGCTACAGGCCAGACAGATCAATGACTTTTAAAACCAAAGGGTGGTAGACTTAATTAGCACCTCAGCCCATGAGGGCATAAAGCAACCTGCTAGGGCCAGTGTGGAACTCTCCTGGTAGTTCCTTAGATGGTAAACATTTATAGTAACTAGCCACATAATAGTCTTTCTACAATAGCCCTTAGACCTAACAACAACCCGTTTGCTGTGCTTATGAGTTTTTCAGTTAGAAAACTCCTTCTGCCAACGGATATTAAAAAAAAAACCAACTATCTTCGACTTAGATAAATTCTAGTGACACAAAGGTTAAGTGTGACTTCTCTGGGACCACAAAACAGTTAAGTTTCTGATTAATTCCAAGCTCAGCATCTAAGTTCTATTCTTTCTATCTATGCTACCCTGCTTATAAAGCACTAAACACATATTATTTTGTATTATGGCTATGTGAGGCATATCACTCTATTAGCCTCTCTCCTGCATGAGGAAAGAGACTCAGACCTGGTATTATCTAAATTTTCTTTATCTCCCATCAAGGTACTTTGTAAACATCTGTTGAAACAAAATGCTATCACTGCTTCTGTGAGAAACACTTTGGTTGCTAAGAGACCAAAAAAAGAATAACTCAAGAACCACTTTTAAAGACTAAGGTAGTTCTGCTTAAAGTTACATAAAAAAACCTGAATTTACAGGAGAAACTAGGTAATTATTTATATATATGCACATGCAAATTTGCCAGAGGGATACATATGTATGTATATGGTCCTCTACAGGTGCCTTTAAAATTATCCAATTTATAAAATTTGACTTTAATTTTTCTTTGGAATAGGCTCACTAAATTTTTTGTTAAAATTGTAACTGTTTCTGATTGAATTTAATTTCAGAGTGTCCATTTGCTAATGTACATGTTAGAAATATTTTGCCAAGTTTTCTAAGTAGGAACATCATTTCACCATGGGACTAATTCAGGCATTTTTACAAGTAGTACTAACTATGCAAATTTATTGCCAGAGTAGTTTTATCAGAAGATTCTTTGCTTATCAAAAATTTTATTATCATTATCATGACTATCACTATCACTATTATTATTATTATTATTATTGGTACTAGGCCAAATTTGAGATTTACCAGCACAGAGACCTCCTGTTGTGGTAACTCTTTCCACCAGGGAAGATTAGTAATAGTCTATAACTTCTGATTTTAGAGTTGTCTGATATACTGAGAGGTAAATGCTTTGCACAGTCACACGGCCTGTGAATTGATCGGAGGCAGGACTTGAGCCCTCCTGCTTTTCAGGATTGTTCACTATGCACCAGGACATACAACCTCTTGGTTGTTATTGGATGGAGAGAAATGTATTACAGAAGAGAAGTAAGAGAAAGTCAAGGATTCTATGCATTTCAACTTATGCTTGAAGAATGACTCAAGTGTTTATTCATAATTTACTGGTAAGGTTCTGAGTTAATCAATATAACGATGATTTGAATTTTAAACAAGTTAAATTGCCAAGTAATTAAATGAAACTAAATGCTGGAATTCAAACTGAAAAAGAAAGTAAAACGTTAAGGAAAATTAAATGAAATGACCACAAAATCTACCATATCTGGTTCACTGACAAAACAGCCCTGGGGCCCCTTTGAGAATTTTGGTTATGACAAAATCTGATAAACTAGAATTCCCACAGACTCAGAATCTTTTCTTGGGCACTTTTACTGTGCGACACACAATATAAATAAAGATTATTTGACAAGTTTTATTTAACAATAAAGGCTTTAAAACTTAATTATACTGTCACCAATCATGTCCCTGAACAAGTCACTTAAAAGTCTTTTCTTCACCATCTATATGATTCTCACAAAAACCCTGTGGCAAATGTTAGCCCTATTTTCCAGACAACGTCTTTGAAAGTACATAAAGTAAAGGATGGTGCAAAAGGGAGGCACTAAAAAGAAAACTCTAAAAAATGGCTATTAATATTTGGCACGCTTCAGTGGGCACCTCTCATTTAAAAACAATTTTGGCAGGGGGCGCTCACACTTCCTCAAGAGGAGCCAAATCAAAATGAGCTATCTGATATGCCCTATCTGGGCATTTAGAGGTAAAGATGGAGATCAACAATCAAGGAATTTCTCTTAGTCGCCTATGTAGGAAAACTACAAACCTCATTTCTTGTCTGGAAGATCCGTAGGTGGCCCAATTAGGTGTTTGCTACTGGTTTTTTGCATATTCAAGAGAACACAGGATCACTGATTTAGAGCTGGAAGAAATCTTACAGGTCATCTGGTTCAATCACATTTTATAACTAAGAAAGTGAAGCCAGAGAAGTTAAGTGACTTGTCTGAGGTTACACAGCAAGTGACAGGGCCATAATTTGGAGCTAGGTCCTGACTCCAAATGCAACACCCTTTCCTGCATGCACAGACCTTCAGGACATATGTGAGTGTCTTAGAATCATGAAAGGCCCAAGAAAGATTTATCTGAGCATCCTCTAGTTTGCCAGGGTTAACCCTATGGTGGATCACTGGAACCTTTTTGCATCTAGAACCATGTATTATCCAGTATAACTCAAAAGTTCAGGAGTTGTATACAGGGAAAAGCTAAGGGAAATGACATCTCCTTGTGGCTTTTCTGATATATGCTGATTGCATATTTTGTAGGTCATCAATTTCTAAAATCTAACTCCCTATGGTACTTTGATTTTATAATAATTAATTCAAAAAAGTGGATTTAATCCACTAGTTAGTTGGATGAATTTAAACATAAGTAGGAGGAATCATAATTTCAATCTTGATATATTAAATGAATTGAAAAATACAATAATTGGACTTTCAAATCTATAACACTAAAATGTTATATTTAATAAAACATTCAATGCACAGTGCTAAAGGTAAACTAACATTTTTAGATTTAGCTAAAAGGACAAAATACTGTAGGTTCATAGTTTCAGACAATTGAAAAAGACAGTGCATTAAAAATGTCTAAAAACTGCAAAATGAATTAATATAGGAGTCATATCTAATTCCCACCCTTCCCTCCCCCCAAATTTTATTACTGTGGGTAAACCCTACAACTAAAGTGTACGTAAGACATGAACATATGTGTTCATAAGTTTCTATCAAATCATCTCTTTAAAAGTCAGTGCCTTAAACATAAAATCATTTAAATAAAATCAGGTATCATACTGTTGAAGTGCTGATATTTATGTTAGATTGATTTGTTTTAAAATGTAAATGTCAAAACTTAGGAAATATTTACAACACAAAAGGCAAAAGTGGCTGAATTACAAATTCCATAACAATATGAGAACTGAAAACTGTCACATTTACCCAACACTAGAGTTTTTAGAAAACTAACACAAACACAATGAGGTACTGGTATCAACATGTCATGTTGTCACAAATGTGCAAACAATGAAGTTTTTGTTATTCACAGAACAGATTTAAAGTGCGTCAGATTTCAAACTGATGCAACACTAATTTTCTTCATTTTTCTTAACATAATATTTTCTGAAGGAGATAATTTTCTCTCTTTTAGCTAAATAAATACTAGTTTACACTAGCAGAGTAAACTTAAGAAACCACCAGTCCAGAACTGGACAAAAAGTACATCTTTGTCATATAGGATGATTACTAGATGCCTTTTTTGTGGGTTTTGGCTTATTTCACTGGAATCACTTCTAGTGCCCTTTTCTAACTATGTAAGAATGACAAATCTGCCTTGCACGGTGTTTTACTCTGCCTCTTCACTCTTCTCAGAAGCAGCTCCTGCTGGATTCTCTGCCTCACTTTTTCTATCACAAGCCTCTTCAGAGGACTTTGCAGTGCAGTCAGGAGTTTTACTTGTAGAGCCCGTACGTGTTCGAATGCGAGCTCCTGGCTGGTATAACTGCATGGCTGGACGATCCTGCATTGAAAGAAGTGAATACAATGAATTTACATTAAAGAAATCATCACCTGAAATTAAGATTCAAAAATGATCAACTGGTAGGTTTGATATTACATTTTGCAGTTTTATGCATTGATAATAAAAAACAATCTTGCAGCCAAAAAAAAAAACAAAAAACAAAAAACAAAACCAAAAAACCCCACTTTTCTTAGAAGCCTTTAAAAAACTTTTCTTAGAAGCCAAGCATTTGAATCAATGAGCCCATGAATATATGGGTAGATATATTTAACTGATGCTAAACTGTTCTCTAGGAAAATGCTATTACTTAGATCAAAAATGATTTACGGAGAATATTAGCATTATCCTAAGAATTGTTTGTAATGGAATTTTCCCACCTACTTGGAGGATAAAAAACTCAACCATTTACCTTGGTATCAAACCTAACAATTCACCCCTCAAAATTATAAATATTTGTGAGCATGTGAGGCAAATCGTGTAACGGGACAAGGCGTACCTCAAATGTGCTTCTTTCAGGGCCACAATCCAACTCATGCTGACCAGTGAACCGAGAACCTTTATTAAACATGAATTGTCAAGAGTTTCAATATGGATTGCTCAGTTCTACTTGTCTGTACTGAGCACCTTCAATGCTTCCTTCTTACAAAAACACTAAGAACAGCTATTTTATTAAATAAATGAAAACAGAAGAAGGAAGCTGGTATATAAAGCACAGTATTATGAAAAGAATGTTTTAGGGCTTAGAGAATATAAAGGACAGACTGCTAAAAATTACACATGAGACCAATTCTTACCCCTTTGCACATGGAGAGATGGCTTATACAATTCCATCTGGGAATATGTACACCAAAAAAAAAGGGAAGAAGTGCTTTTCTATCCATGCATGAATAGAATGGTCTTGTGTTAGGGTACTCACAGCCCAAATAAAGTACAGGTAGCATGGTCTTTGCTCATGCACAGGTGGGAGAAATTACAAGGAGGATGACCTGGCTGCCATTTGCAGGTTGGCTATTACACATGTGTACATCCCTGGTTAGCAAAAGGTGCTCCTGAGATTGTACTAGCCTGGTGATCTCTGTACGCTTACCTTTCTGTTATGTACAGGGCTATCTATACACCTAAAGTGTTTGACTGGGGAGAATGTTCAACAGGTCATGGCACAGAGCCGGTGCAATATGCAAAGTGGCCAATTTATTCTCTCTTCTTTTGTAGTAATTCTGATCAAAAAGGAAAATGTGACAGAGAGTGGGTAAGAGGAAGTTCTAATCCCCTCTGTGCCCAAGGAATGTAAATTCCTCTATGTAAAGAGGCCATTCTAGCTATTTCACAAGCTATGGAAACTAGTTTCAATTTAAATATAATTGTAAATAGGTCAAATTTGCCTGGATAAATAAGAACTGTTGGTAGTTCTTGCTTATTTCTTTTAGTATTTTTATATATGGATCTGAATGCAAAATCAGATCCAAAAAATATACTATGATTGGTCTTGTACTTACCATTTGTAAAATGATTTCAGATCCGCATTAGAAAGGGGCTATTAAATACAAAGTACTATTATTACTATCACATTATCATTAGATTTAATCCATAGAAGTATTTATGTGGTCCTCTAACAAAAGTTGTGTAAATACCTTACTATTATACTATTGCTAAAAATAATTGCTTATACCAACAGTGTAAAAGAAAAATGGTATTCATATCAATTGTACAAAGAGCACACTTGTTTTCTCAATCAAGCCAATACAAGAACTTTACTTGAGGTTGCATTATATTCATTTTATAATACCAAGAAACCAACAAGACCTTTAGATTCATTGTGGGCACTAATGAGGCAAGTTCTGAAATTTGAATCTGGGGTCTGTTCTTTTTTAACAGATAAAATTCAAAGACAATATAAGCACTATTTGGGACTTTGCTCAACAGGTTAACCCATTGTAAAAATCATAGTCTAGGTCTAGCTTTACTAAGCTTGGCATACGCTAAAGAAAAAGAAAGGTACGATGAAGTGAGACACTTTTATATTTAGGCTGATGGCTTTCAGACCTCAAAGGAAAATTAAGATGTCTCAAGTATTCTCTATCAAATAATTTTTCTTTTTAGAAAACATACCCCCTTCCCCCTTCCAAACTGTAATTTCTTCCTGAAATTGGTATACTAGCCATAGGACAAAACTTTAAACTTCTTCCTTTGACTTTCTATGCTTGTTAACCTCCACCTCCTATTTTTCACATGTTTCATATCAAAAAAACCCTCTTTAGCAATTTTCTCCCCTGACACACACTAAGTAAAACCCCATTATTCCTGTGCTTTAAACAGGACCCTCAACTTTTACTCTCCCTTGCTTTTGTTTTCTTTCCGAGTCACCCGTCCATCTTCAGTTCAAACTAACTTTCCTCTTCAACTCTACTACTGGTCACAGCAATGGATTTTCGAAAAGAACACAGCACAGTCACTGTGTGGTTCTATAATCCAGAGCCTGACACATACAGAGAACACAAATATTTTTTGGAGGGGAGAAGGGGGAAGGTGCTTGACTGAGAGGATGAATCCAGTGTTCTCCCTTTTGTGGTATGGCAGGCAAAGATGTTTGATTCTATTTCACAAGGTTGGTTGAGAAAACAATGTACACCAACTAAAATATATGTACCAAATATTTGACTAGAAAACAACAGTTTCTACATGAACAATCTAATTCTCTGAGAAATTCCAACAGGAAATGTAAGGGAAGGTACTATCATAATAAGAACTTGATAATCTTACTGACATGAAATATTTTTGGCCTTATTACTATATACTCTTCAAGGCCAGTCAGTGAACATTATAGAAATTCAGGTTGTAAACCAGAAATACTTTCTAATTTTGAGGGTTTTTTGGTTTAATAGAATTACATACATGTTCTCTTACAGGCAACTCAATTCTTTTGGGTCTGATAATTTGATCTAATTTGATCCTGATTACTTGATGAGCTATGCCCTTGGACATGTTTTATTTTTTCCTCGGCTTCCACTAGCAGAAGAAAATAAGAGGAATTAAACATCATCTAATTAATTTTGCAAGTTCAGTAAAAAATATTTGTGGGGGAGAAGAGGAAGACTAAATTAACTAGCAAGCTAAAATTAACAATTACTATTAGAAGTAGACTTCTTTTAATTATCTCTCAAACTTCTATTCCATGGATAATTTAGTAATATATCCAAATATTTTGGACATTCATAATTTCAGAAAATGATTTTATAAACTTATGGATCTCGAGGCCCTACTTTTTAAATATAATTTGTACAGACCCTAACATTAGATGTCCATACCCAATGTGAATCATAGAATGAAGCTAATTATTTGGAATAAGGAGTAATAGTTTAATCCTACGCTTTACATTGGCTATGCAGACCTTGCTCTTGGATTCTTAGTTCAATTATTCCTTAATGATCTTAATAGTAGTAATAATATATAAAAACAGTTAATGAAATGCCAATTACGCTCTCCTTATTATACTAGAGGATAATATTCTCATTGACTATGGTTCACTGAACTCTTTAACTGTATTGGCTCCATGCCGAATGAAACCTTTTATTAATGAATAATTAGGACTTTGTTAGAACAGATTTTGGTTGGCTTAGTTTATACTTCGACATTTACAGTCTTTTAGTGAATAATGTTAACTGCTCTAGTGACCACAACTACTGAAATATTCTAAACACTTGGTTCTCCAGGATAATGTTCTAAGCTCTAGATCTAAGTTCTAAGCTAGATCTGGAGTGCAGTGAAGCCCCCCCACCCCCAACAAAACAAAACAAAAAAAAGAGCAGAGAGAATCAAAATCAAAGCTAGTTTTTTTCTTTTAAAAGAAAGTAAACCTGTTTTTTTTTAAAACATCATTCAAACAAAGAACAATTGCTGGAAAAGATTGTTTTAGATTGCAAAGTAAAAACCATTGACCTTGAAGTATAGTTTTAGAAATGAAAGATTATCCTAAATGAATAAAAGAACCTTATTTCTTATGCGCTCCTTTTTGGATGCCATGTCATCACACTTGTCCTCTTTACCCAGTTTGTCTACTGCCTCCACAGTGAAGCTGTAGTTGTGGTTCCCTTTCTTCCCTCTGTCTTGGCTGTATCCTTTCCCCCATTTCAGCTCGTCTTCGTTCCTTCTCAAAAACTTGTCAAACTCATAATGAGTTCTATGTTTTCTGCCATCGTCCAAGCGATACCTTTGTCTTTCAGGTTCTTTTTCTCGAAATCTTCTATCCATATCTCTTTGCTCTTTATCACTGTCATTTTGTGACCTGAGGTTTAATAACAAATTAGCAGAAGTTTAGTTTCTGTTCAGTTTGGCCAAAGGCAACTGAATTTTTCACGAAACTGAAGTAAGTGCAATTTTATCAAATGTATGTATAAAAATCATAACCTATAAGGCTGCTCCTTAAATCATTTCATTCCATGGACTATTTTATTCCATAAGCCATAAGGCTGCTCCTTAAATCATTTCATTCCACGGACTATTTTATTCCAGGCAAAAGACATTGGATATTTATTCCACATATTCCTACTTGCCTCTACAAATAATCTCACAATGAGAACACTTGCATGATTTTGATTAGGCACCGATAAAGGATATTATAACTAAACTGTCAATTCGAACAGACACAAGGCAACATGTTGTCAGAGGGCCTGGGTTCCTTACCCTTTCTGGGCCTCAGTTTCTTCATCTGTAAAGTGAAGAGCTTGGCTAAATAATCTCTGAGGTCTCTTTCCATGTTAAATCAATGATCAATCTGTTGCTGGAGAATAATGCTACGAGAGGCCCCTCATCTTCAGCAAGTGTGGGACAGGTGCCTGTGGGAGTGGTCATATACAGACACCAGGAGGCGATGGGGAAAAGGCATAGCCTTCTCCCCGCCCCTCCCCATTCCTACACTCCCTGGTTCTTTGAAGCTGGCCATCCCACCATGCTCCAAAATACCATGGTCCTGCCTGTCCTGATACAATGTGGGGCCAATGCCAGAGAGGCACACGGTAGGTTCTTGTTTCCTGTTTCCCTCTGGCAAAGCTCTGAACAGAAACTGTCACAGGGATGGGAGAGAAGGGCAGTGTCTAGGTGTGTGGCTGCCTGGGATGAGAGGAAATATGCTAAGCTCTGTCATTGTGTCCAACTCACTCTAACTTCAGTGTCCTGTGACATAGCCCCAGTGGCCCCACCCTTGTTATGGTTTTGCTTTTAGAAAAACAACTCTTTATAAGATTAAAGTGGCAATGCTTACTGCAGTATGGATTTGCAGGTGTCTCATAATATTTGACCTCCCCAGGGCTCCAGAGGCTAGGGTTTGGCAACCACTATTCTATGACACAGTACTCTTATTATTTGGGGGCACATTACAGTTGAGGAATTAAACAGACCACTACTCCATCAGGATTATTGTTCCCAAGGGATTTAGATGGCAAATAATAAAAAAAAATATATTTTGAAGGCACAAGTACACATATTAGAACTTCTCATTTTTTTGTGACTGACATAATTTGGTAAAAGACAAATGCATATTCATTAAATAACTATAGTCTTAGATTTATTGTGACTGTGAGCATGACTCACTTTTCCTTGACTTCCTTCAGTGAACTCTCCAGAGGTTTGGATTTCATGCTTCCAGAGCTGGAGGATTTTTCCCATTTTCCTTCTTCAATATCAGCTTCTTCTCCTTTTTCTTTTTGCTTCTCTGCTGCTGGTTCCTCTCCCTTTTCAGGTTTTTTAAGAAGCTGAAAAATTATAAAGATATTTAAACATCAACAAACAGCAAACTACAAAAAAGCTACTTAGCTCACAAGACTTTAGATGTCAGAGAATCATTTTAACGGGGGTTTTTAACTTGGGAACTACAAACTTTTTTCATTTGATAACTATTTCAATTATCAGTGGTTTCCTTTGTAACCCTATGTATTGTATTTTCTACATTTAGAAACATGGTTCTGAGAAGGGGTCATAGGCTTCACCAGTCTATCAAGGGGGTCCGCGACACAAAAAATGTTAAGAATCCCTGGTCTAAAAAGACTCACTAAAATATAATATTCTTTTTCTTGGTCTATAGACACAGAAATAGAATTAGTTGGATAGTAACTTGAGAAACATTTCACTTGACTTTTAGTTCTACTAGACTATTTTCCTTAACATTCCCCTTGCTCTTTATTATACAGTCTTAGAAACTTTAGTATCATGAGTAAATTCAGATTTTTAAAAAATTTTTGCGGGGAGAGATCTGTGTAGGTTTAAAAATCCCTCAGGTCTATTACACTTTGAGTTGCAATCCAGCAAAGTGATACAAAGATTAATTTTTACTGAATGAGTTAGGCAATATTTATTTCAGGCATGTATGCACAATATTAACACATAGAATGATCCAATCTCCTGACTCTGAGGAATGATTCCTTCAAAAGATCACCAAATTTCCAGAGATAAATGCCCAGACTATCATTAAAAATCAACAGGGAATAAGTAGCCCAACGTTTTAAAACTAATATAATCTATAACCTACAAACTTTAGTCAGGAATTTGCTCGGTAAGGTTAATCTAACCTCCTGACGCAATTTATACTTACTACTTTTTTTAAGTCCTCAGAGGAAATGAAAAATGGATGCTTGTTATCCTCTATCATAGTCCTTTGTTCAGGAAAGGAATTCTCTTCGTCAATTCTCTGCTTCTTCTCCAATTCCTTAATCTTTTCCTAACAGAGGTTATTATCAAATCTGTTGCCCTTCTCTGTAAATTTTCTGAATTACTCTTAGGTTAGGTTCCCATATAGACCAAAGAATTCTCATAATGAACTAATAAAAGATGACTACTGGTTAAGATTAGCTTTAATTTCCTATGTGCTCTTATAAATCTACTTATAAAAACCAACTCTGGATTTACTTAGTGACAAAAGCAAATTATGGCTCACTTCAGCTTGTGGTGCACTAAGCCTCTAAAGTTCTGTTTCTACCATATTTGCACAAAACAATACTTTTTCCAATAGTGATTCTGTATATTTTGTCTTCTACCTACCCTTCGATGAAGTATCCTGAGAGGAAGGAACACTAATGAGTTTTATACCATTTATTTCTTCAGCTTGCAATGCCATTCTGGATTCTAATCTTATTCTCCAAGATGATACCACCTCACTTGGTTTGCTGTTATCTACAAACTGCTATCTATCATTCAAGACAATGGTGAAGTAATATGTAAATCACACTCAGGTGTTAGTAAGATTGAAATTAAGGTAGCAGGTTTCCCTACAAGAAGCTGACACTTTCATCAAAAAATAGGATCTCAGTATTATCATGTGAAATTAGTTTATATAGTAAATTAAAAAGATGTCCTTTTTGAATTATATTTATACTTAAATTTTTAAGGAAAGAAACTACTGTGGCTGGACTGTTGCCTTTTGACTAGTCTCCCAGCCTCAAGTTTGTGGATTTCAATCCACTTTCCACATAGCTAACAAAGTGATTCCCCTCTCCCCAAAAAAAGATCTAACCATGTTACTTTGCTACTCAAATGAACTCCAGTGCACCCCAATGACCTTTGGGATTGAATAAAAACTCCTTTATTTAGCATTTCAAGTTCTTTACAAGCTGGCCCCATCCTACCTTTTACCTTTCCAGCCACATCACATATTACTTCTCTCTCATGTACTCTACAGTCCAGCCAAATTGGCCAACCTGAAGGTCTTCACACAAGACAAGCCATTTCCTGCCTCTGTGCCTTTCAAGCTTTCACTCTCTCTTCATCCATTCTTCTAGGAAACCTTGCTCTTTTTAAAAAAGACTCGGATCAAGTGCCATTTTCCACACAAGCCCCTTCCTGGTCCCTCCAGCTAAGAATGCCTTCTACCCAGCCCACCAATATCACCTTGTATTTATTTGTATGTGTTCTGTACATATAGTTTATGCTATTTTTCCCATTAGCATGTAGCCTTTGAGGATAGAAGCTGTTGCTACATCATTTTTGTACCTTTAATACTTAGCACAGGGCCAGGTACATAAAAGATGCTTAATAAATGTTTGTTGATTGATTGGGGAATATCTCAGTGTGAGACTGACTTAGGTGAGGAGGAGATTAATTTTAAATCTAGGAGAAGAGGAAAAGTATGTGAGCACACTGATGAGTAATAACAAGCTTTAAAAAGGCTACCAGTGTCCTATAATTCAATGATCTTCACCTAACTGACATATATTTCCTCAAGCTAAAGTTTAAGTTGGTTAGCTCAGTTGGTTAAAACAGAGTACTAATGAGGTCAAGATTGGAAAGTCTGATTTTTGTGCGAGCCAGTTCGTTTTGCAACAAGAAAAACTGTTATACACACACACACACACACACACACACACACACACACACACACACACA